TTCTGGGATCTCCATATACTCAAAGAACCTCTCTACTTCTGCAATCCAGTCGAGGAACTCTTCAATATGCAGTTGTCCGTTGAAAGATGGCAGATCCATCTTCATCTTGAATCCTCCAACGTCATAATTATCCCTTCGTCGTCGGTCCCTGCGATAACCACCGCGGCGTGGGGGTGCATAATGATCTTCCTCGCTGTCGGAATCTTCATACGGAGTCGTCTCACGTCGTTGGCGACCATCAACGCGATTTTGATCTTCTGTCGTGTCCAGACGCTCTACTGCCTCAGCTAGTCGCTCCAAGACAGTCTTCATCTGATTGACATCGGCCTTTAGCACGTCGAACTCAGTTCGAGAGATATGGGCTTCTTCACCTGCCATCGGATCGGAGGAACAAGGCTCTGATACCAATTGACGCAGCGCGGAAGTTGTAACCTCGGAATCCACCAAGGGTGTTCTCTGAATCCACAAAGAACGATCTTCGAATCCACGAAGAGCTTCGAATCCACGAAGAAATATTGAGGAAAAACAAAATTTTATTAATCAAAAGTTATGCCTCTAGGGCTTACAAGACTCTTCTTAAATAGAAAAAGAAACAAGACTCCTACAAGGACTCTAATTCCTACAAAGACTGTGAACTTACCAAAAATAGTAAAGAATTCCTAAAACATTAAAACTCCTAAAAAGAATCCTTATGAATAGGAAAGTCCACCGGTCAAATCTGAGATCAAATTGGATTTATTTCCTAAACAAAACAGACTCCTAAATTATTACTAAAAATAGTAAAAACGAACAAAATTGTAATTATCTCTCAAACCGTAAGGAATTTGGCAAAACTGGAACGCAAACCTAATCCAAATGGGTCGGTTTGGATGGCTCCGTCTCGTCGAGATAGTCGATTTTCATATATAATTCGTCCAATTCCGACGTACGGTTTGAAAGTTACGGCCGTTTCTTCGAAACACGTTATTTTCTTCGACCAGATCCGCATTTGCGACTATCCCACTTTGACATAAATATGTCTGCTGTGTGTTCTACATCATTTGTCTTATCATGCAAGTTTAAATACATTGTGGTCATCGGGGATAATTTTATTATCAATGTGATCACTGGATACTACTTTTAATACCAATTTGATAAATTAGCCCTTAAATACTCTATTGTTTCACCACTTTTACACGTAAATATTCTAAGTTGTAAAAACTAATACTTTGATACCTTAAGCTAAAAAATGACACTTTAGTACCCTCAGTTGTAAAAAAAATGACACTTAAGTACCCTGTTGTTTCACCACATTTACCTTTAAATATTCTAAGTTGTAAAAAATGACGCTTTAATACCCAAAAATTATAAGAAAGTAGCGTTTTAATACCTTATGTTAGTTGTCATGATATATTCTTAGAAATATTCTCATAGCAACGCATAGAAGATACTAACGTGCTAATTTTTTATAACGTAGGGTATTAAAAATATTATTATTTACAACTTATTTGAAGTGCCATTTAAGTGCCATTTAGCGGCTTCATAGCTGTCAGTTACACGGTTTAATTATAAAAATGTCTATCACAATGGGCAATCGCAAGGTCCAAATTCATAAATTATGCAGTAGGCCCATTTGTTGTATTTGTTGTTCATTAGCTGGGCTTAGTAAACTGAATGAGCTATTTTTATTGTAAGCCTTCCTCGTTCAAATATTTGTAGACAAATAGACTAGAAATAACCCGTTAAGGAGACCTTAGGCATTTTCGTTAATTGATTGATCATCACGGACAAAGTGCATGGCGATTATTAGTACTTTAGAAAAGATGACGCTTATTTTATATTAAAAGAAATTTTTTTAATTTGTGAATTTTCTGATTTATTTTTTTATTATTTATTTAAACCGTAAATTAATCCTTTTTTTTTGGGGGGAAGGGATCAATTTAATCCTTTTAATAAACCATTTTCTTTAACATGATGCGATTAGAAGGGTGGAAGCTTAAGAGAAGCGTCATTTTGACATGTGAGTCACATTTTTAGTATTCCAGAAACATACTCATTCTTAAGAAAAAGTGTGAAAGCCTCGTACTAGGATTTCTATTTATATATATATATATATATATCTATATAGTATTATATATATATTATATATATATATATATATATATTATATATATACTAGTTGGATTGCACGTGCATGCACGTCGTAAAATTATCATTATTATAAATTTTAACTTATTTAGGAAATATTTAGTTATTTATTGATGTAAGAATGGATCAATATATAGCACATAAATAAAGTATAAACCTTACCGCTATCGCAAAACGAAATAAGTTGAAATTCTTTAAGATATTTGGATATAACAACTAAGAATCACCCTAATAATCTCATTGAATGAATGAGATACTTGGATTGAACATTAAATCTTTTGTGTCCTATAACAAAATAATATGACCAGCATTCAAGATAGAATACAATAGAATTGGTTCAGCAAGTGCAATATGTTTTCAAGAAAATACATGTCAAGTAGCATAGACAATTATCTAGCATCGGTTAATCACTATGAAGTCAAGCTCTTCTCATGTTTTCTTAAGAGAAAGGATTGAGTCTTGAAAGAAGACCCCAACCGAGCAATACATTCTTGAAAAAATGGGTGATTACAATCTACTTACAGATAATCATCAAAATCCCCAACCAAAGAATAAAATGAAGAGTATCTCTCATTACATCACACCAAAAAAAACATAAAATTCCCTAGCTGTATACATCAAAAACCTATCAAAACAACTCCTAACATACTCACACCAAAAAATTGGAACATTAGCAACATTTAGCAACAAAATATAGAGCTTAAAAACATCTCCATTCACCAAAGACCTGACCTCAACTAAATAGCATCAAATTGTTGATCTCCTAGTAGCTCCCCATGTCTCTTACTATTTCGCCATTGTTTATGGTCATAGGAAAGGCTAAAACAATAAGAAGGACATATCAAGACATATAACCTTCTGAACACAAAGTTAAAGGAACATGAAACAGGGATGCATAAGGAATTAGAGCAGATGACCTAAGTACTGATTGAATCATTGATAATGAACAAAGCAATATAGAAATAAATCTCTCCTATAAAGAACATTCTTTTTAAACAAATACCCATTACATCTATAATATTTCTTACATTATAATATCTGCCAACATTTCTTACATTAACATCTATAATATTTGTTATGCTATAGAGTCTATCAATAGAATAATTAAGCTCATAGACGCAAATGCGTTTTGACTAACTATCATTCTCTAAGTTATCATATGACTTGTAGCTAGTAAGCTTAATAATTTCCTTTAGCAATTGCATTATCAATTTTTATATGTATCATGAAATTAGTACTTTCCTCATAGTAATTTCAATTGGCATTTGAGCTCATATTTGCTTACATGAATTAAGATATTGCAAGATATTTGATAATGTCCATTTAGTAAAAGTTTACTCTCTAATAGGAATTTCCAAATTTCAGAATCTTTAGTATATAACAATTGAGTCAATTACAATTATTATTAAACAACTAAAAAAGGAAAGGGAAAAAAATAAAGCTCTCTAGACAAAATATATTAAACTACTATATCTACTTATAGTTCTAACAAATGAGCGAAAGGGATATAGCCTATGATGATTTGTTGAAGGTAAAAAAAGTTAAATTAATTTTTTTAAATTCGAGCCTAAGGTATTTATGATTATAATAATATACCATTATATCTGTGAATTTTAAGGTATATGCAAAATTTCACAAGGTTCAAATCTCTCTAACCCAATTTATTTTATTTTATCAAGTACTATAAATGCACATTATCACTTACACTGATATGAACAGTCTCAAATCTTTTAACTTAATACTCAAGTACTATAAATGCACATTATCACTTACACTGATATGAACAGTCTCAAATCTTTTAACTTAATACAAGAGCATGATTTGACAAAATCTTGTAGTTAGTTATGCTCAACAAGCTCATGACCAAGGATAAAGTTAAAGCTTGGGGGAGAACAGATGATGCACAAGGTAACCTTTGTGGGCTCATAATAAAACTGTTGAGCATTTGTTCTTTAAATGCTTATTTTCAGCTCAAATATGTGATCAAATACTATCCTATATGAGGCTACAAGGAAGACATAAGTCTTGGATTAGATTCCGACCTTGGTATAAGACTCTAGAGGGAAGAAAAGGTCCAGGTTCAAGGCATAGAAGAGCTCTCCTTGTAGCAACTATATACTATATTTAGCAGGAACGAAACTGCAGAAAATTTAGACGCATTAGCAATTCCCTTGCAGGATTACTCAATAAAATTCACAGCTTGATGGCCTGCAAACTTGGTGATTTTAAATGACACTAACTTATATTTGTATATTGTTCTCTCATGCAGCATTGTGATGTTTTTTCTTGCTGTTGGAAGCCTACTTTTATTATACTTTGGAATGCCTAAGTACCCTTGTACACCTGATAATCAGTGAAATATTCTTTACCTATGAAAAAAAAGTCATCACTCAATTTGGTACTCAATCGCATGTCGCATTCCTATCTCACACAACTTGGATGAATTATTGCCTTCTTAGTGATAATGCTTCAGAGTATTATGGATTAGCAAGATGTATTGCAAGCTTGCAACTTTGCAAGAAGCCTTAGAGCTTGAGTAAAATAAAGAATTTTCACTTTCAAATGGCCATGAAAGATTAACATAGAATCACATTGCCATACTAACCTAAAGCCAATGAGTCTTACATTTAAGCAAAATAAAGTTCAGTGGGATAGCAATGCATCTAATCTACGAAGTGTAATTATAAGCAAAAGTAAGAGATATTCTCCTTAATTTTTAAATAGGAGTAAAAATTATGAACGATCATTCTGATATCAAATAGTTACTCAAAGCTAATCATAACACAATCATACAATTTAAAAAACAAACATTGGTAATGTAAGTCTTACCCTTGATTGATCCACCTCTGGATCTACCAGGGAAACCACTCCTACAAGTGTTTCAAGTGTTGTCCCTGCAACCGTACAAACATGAAAAGTGATCAGTTTGATCAGGCACAACAATAGTTGTACTTAGCAGTTACAACATTAACATGAGACGATTTCCAGTCAATTAAAATGAAGCAATAATTACAAAAGACATAAACTGGTAAATGTAGCATCTAGTGTTAAGTTATTTTCAACATAGATACCAAGAAAGGTAAAAGATTTCAGTACCAGCAACATAAGTGCTGGATTCAGCACTGCTAGAATCATATCGCCATCTTCCATCACTTTGACTAAGCGACTGATGAAATAATGGTTTAAGTTATACCTCTTCACTAAATGGAAAAGTAGCAAAAAAGAAAAAGAATACATAGGAGTTGAAAGCTTATCACCTTTATGGAATCAAAAACACTACTGGCATCTGACAGTGACACATCAAAACCTTGATTCTGCATCAGAAAAATGAAAATATGTTTTTTATGTTTATAAAGTTTCAAATAATAACAGAACACATTGAAGATCAAAGAGAAGGTAATTAAGGATGTAACTATATAAATAGAAATAGAACTCGAGGATAATAAACTTGTGTATCAGCTGAAATAATAACAAACAATTTAGTACAAAACAAACAATGCAATGTCTAATTTGATCTCACAGGATATTTTCGGTAAATAGTCATATACAACACATTATACAAAAGAATATACCGAGATCATAAGTAATCACGAGTTCTTCATCAATCTCAGGGCTCCACTCCTCAACATGCAATCTCTCTGCCAAATTCCCCCACTCATAAAACTCAAAGAAAAACAAATAATTTGGAGGCCTCGCATGAGCAATAACCAACTTAGCCAATCAAGGATGATCCACTTCACTTCACGCTAAAAAAAACCAACATCAAAATTATCCATATTGGTCAACATGGGCACTCTCAAAATCTCAACTTTAAGCGAAAACCACCTAAAGGAGTGTAAACTTTCTTACCACCACAGTTGAAGTTCAAAATCTCAACTTTAAGCGAAAACCACCTAAAGGAGTGTAAACTTTCTTACCACCACAGTTGAAGTTCTATGTGGAACTTGTCGAGGTCGTCTGAAGAGGAAAAGACAGGTTTTTTAATGGTGACTCTCCGGCCATCGAGCCTCACGTCGTAGACGGTGCTTTCAGAACCTTTTGTTTGGTGAAATCAAAGGAGAGTCTCAGAATGGACTAACAAAAAATTAGAGAAAAGACATAGGGGGTTTGGTGAAATTTTACCTTAAGCGATAGGGGAGAGGAGAGAGAAGGAAGAGGGAGGGAGGTGGAGGGGGATTGACTTGCTCGAGCAGCTCTCTTCAAACAAAATAGGAGGCACAATTAGTTGAGTCTAGCATTCCTATGCAATTTCCCCACAATTCTCTTCAACAAAAAGAAGATATATGGGTAATTCAATATCAGCAAAAAAAATTTGGGGGAAGAACAATTTCTTTTCTTAGCTAATAAAGATACCTTACTGGTTTTGACATCAATCTAACATTTAAGAATGTTGTTCAATCTCAATGCATGAAACATATCCTTCGTTGTAGAAGAAGACGAACCGAGTTTTTCCACAACAAGCGGGCATGTTGCCAGGCTACTTTCGGAAACCTTTTCAGAGTCCTAGAATCCGAAATGTTCTCACTGTTCCATGCTATATTTAGCCTCTTCATTTCGCAACAAATTTTCCATTAATTCTTAAGTAAAAAAACTCATAACTTGTGACAATTAGTTGGAATTTATTGGGTGTGAAGGCTTTTGATTTTATAACTCATTTTATAAATTCATAATAATAATGGAAAACACCTCATAAATTTGCCCATTAATTAGATCCAAATTAACTTTGTTATATTTACAAAAGTTGAAGGGCAATTTGGGGTAGTGAAAGTTTTTCTAGTACTCCCTCTTTTAAAGGGTAGATAGATGATTTGGATCCTTTATATTGAACTAAGTAGTAGAAAGATCGATCATTATCTTTAATGATAATTATTTGTTGTTTTGCTAGTCAATGCTTATGATTCTGCTTTAAGTGAAAATTTTAAATGGGAGCAGTACACTAAAAGGGATCGTAATTAACTAGTGCTAAGCATAGCGGAGAGGAGGCAAAATAGTGCTCGATCAATAATATATAGATGGTCGTGATTAAAAACAGTAACCTCTCTGTTACTTTTTAATAATACAAAATTCTGAAATGAACTCACTTACCAATCTACAGTCCATTAATAAAGAACTTCTTCACATCTATGTATATATATATATATATATATATATATATATATATATTTATACTCTCTTTAAAAGTACGAGTTCGAAAAAATATTTTCATGATTAATTTTATCCTTCACTATTTTAAATATTTTATTTAGATTTTAATTTATCCTAAATCTAATTATATCTCAACGACTTAAAAATAAGATTAATAATATACATGAAACACTATTAGAATATTTTATTTAAATCTTAATCTATATTAATACTAATTATATTCTATACTAATTCAATGCGAATTACCTATAGCTAAACAGTCAAAAAAATAAGATTAAGATATCGTACATAGTTGACAAATTCTAATACATGAAATATTTTTAAAAACCGAAAAAAGTTTTAAAATTGCACAAAGTAACCTCAAAAGTTTAAAATTACATAAAATATTATGATTTTTTAAATATTAAAACAGCAAACATAGAATCTTGAAATTAACAACAGCCCCGAAGAATTTTAAATTTACAATTAACACCCTCAACATTTAAAATTTGTAGAAATAACTTTAAAAGTTTAAATTATAAAAAAAACATCCTAAAATTTTAAAATTTCAAAACTTACAAATAATATAGATGAATTTAAGAGATTAACAGACACTTACAATTTTAAAATCTGTAAAAAACCCTCAAGGATATAAAAATTGTAAAAATTCCCTCAAAAGTCAAAAATCATAAAAAACACTAAATTTTTAAAACTTATAACCAGTACACATTAAATCTAAAAATTATTAATAGACCGCTAAAATTTTCAATTTTATAAAAAATAACCCAAACTTTTAGTAACTACAAAACACACCCTCAAATTTTTAGAGTTACAAGAAATATACTAAAATGTAAAAACTTACCACAAACACATGAAACATATAAATTACGAACTTAAAACCTAAAAAATATTTTTTTCAAATATTATCAAAATTTTAAAAATTGCAAAACACAACCTTAAAATTTTTAAATCACAAAAAGACTGAAATTGCTAAACTTGGCAAAGAAAAGAGTAATTGTTTGATGTTCAGATTTCAAGATCTTTAAATATGAAGGTAACATACTTCATTACTAAAATTCTTAATAAAAGGTTACTAAACATAAAATTCACCTTATATATGTCTCAATTTTGTAGAAGAGATATCCATGTCATTATAAATTGAGTCAATAATATCCATGTAACATTATTTAACAAAACAGAAATTCTTAATGGATGCACAACAAAAGAATTCATTAAAGAGAAAAAAATATAACTCCTAACATTATTTAAGTAATAAATTAAAAACGCAAAAAATTGTATATATGAAATTAATCGTTATCCACATTAAAACAGAAAAATAATCAAAATTTATATTCTAGAAGTTTGTGTTGAAAATCTAAAATAAATGCAACTTTTTTTTTAAAGTAAGACAAGAAAACAAAAGATGAACGGGCCCATGAAAATATAACAGTACAAAAAAAATCCATCTCCAGCATGATGTCACAATCGATATAGATAATGAAGACATTACTCTAGAATTATACAAGAAAAAGATAAAGGTAGAGAATGATTTATCTTGACTTAATTATATATATATATTGAATATTGTATAGAATAGTTTATTTTATTTTTTGGGTAAAATTACGAATATTTAGAAGGGATTTTGTTAAACTATTTTTAGTACTTTATATGCTTATGTGGATACTTTTATCATATAAAAATGTATTAGAGTTAGCATTAATTTTTAGTTTATAATTTTTTATGAAGTGTATCAATGATTAGGAATAACTTCATATTCTCTTCAGTTTTATTCTAGCTCATTTTTAACCAATCATCTTGGTTTATTGGCTTTAATTATTCGTCTTGCTTTTATAGCATAATTTTTAAGTATTTTTCACGTTCGCAATACTATACTTTCTCAAGTCAAACTTGGCTTCATGTTGGTCCAAATAAAAAAAAAAATTAGCTTTGGATTAGATTTGTTTCTTGTCAATTGTATTATCAACATGAAATTTTAAATTTAATGTAGTCCATTCAAACAAACCCAAAGAAAATAAATAATTACAATGCTAAAGCTTAGAGACATAGGTGAGCAAAAACTATTAAAGTAAAACTGAGAAATAAAATTTAACGAGGAAATAAATTACAAATACTTAATCATGGTATTTTACCATGTGCATAAAACTAGTGTATACATATAAATTCTCTCGGATTTGGAAAGGGGGAAAAAGAAAAATCTAGACAAGCCCTCCAACTTGGAAAAGATCAAAGGAAATATCCTCATATTTGAAATTTTCTTCTTTTTAATACATCATTCTTTCCCCTACAGTTCGAGAACGATGTTCCTCCATGATCTTTGCCATAAACGCATTGTGTTCATCCAGAATACCGGTAACTATTAAAGCTTGATTCAATAGCAAAAAAGTGTAAAACATAATATTTTAGGTTCATTATCCTCTATCTAAAAGGGCTCAATTCCTAACAATTATTTGGCCTCCACAATTTATTGCGAGTAGCCTTAGTTACGTATGTCTCGCATAGCCACATAGGATCACCATAGCCAAATCCCCATCCCATCAAGAATCCAAAGGAGATATGGGCGGTGTGCTTGCAGTCTTCCTCCTTCTTGGAGCATCTCCAATAGGTTCTTCAAAAATTTCTTCAAAATAGGGAAACAAAAGTCATATTTTTTAAATTATTTTTGCTACAACTCCGACAGCTTCCCTATTTCGAAGAATCCTGCATTTATTACGATAATAAAAATATTCTACATCTTTGTTTTGGGATGCTCTTATGCATTGGAACTGCCTCCATTGCTTTTTTTGTAATTACGGATTTTGTTTTGTGTTTTTTTTCTCATCCATCCCGTTTTGAAGAATGTGCTGCATTTATGACAAAGCTTTCTGCAGAATACTGCAGATTTGGGGAAGACTCCCTATTTTTTCTCTTTCATACCTATTTTAGGAAATGAGATGGGGAATATGTTGAACAAAAAAAAAGCTCAAAATTCTTCAAAAATGAGAATACCAATAAAATGAGGAAGCTGTTGGAGATGCTCTTAATTTACAAACTTTGCAAAGCATCATGTATGGGAATATGTCATGGACTCACATTTCACAAAAGAAAGGGACGTACCATCCGAAAATCAAATAAATAAATTTGATAATTTGGTGAGAAGACTACAAGGGGCACTTCAATTATTTGGAAAAGGTGGATTGCTAAGTAAGTCCCTTTCAAAATGAGTGCAATGAGTTTTGTTTTCGTTCTCTGGGGAGAGCCTACAAGAGGTTTGATGATTTCACACTCCCAATCACTTTTAGCCTCTTTAGCATCTAGCTAGAAAAGGCGAAGAAAAGGTTTTGATTGGATGACAAAGTGATATCACTTAACACACGCTATTAAAACTCCATAATTAGAGTTTAGCAGTTCATTGCGAACTCAATTTTGTTCCTTTTGGAAAAAGCCATGGGAAATTGAAGCGTGGGTCAGTGGCTTCTCTCAGGAGCACCACGGGAAAAAAAATAATGAATAAAATTGAAAGTTGGAAAGGTACAGCGCAACTGATAATGTTGTTTTAACGTTTGAGGAGTTGCTCAATACTCACTAGGGAAGTGGGTCAGTGGCTTCTCTCTACAAGGATTTGCACTGAAAAGGGACATGATAAATACAGTGGCGTAGCCAGGATTATTTTTTCCCTGAGCAAAAAATAAAGATGGTCTCAAGTTATAAGTTCCCTTTCTCCTTCCCTAGACTCTCTCACTCTCTCCTTTCTTAGCCCTAAGTCTCGTTCTCGACCGCTACTCTGTCCATGACCATCACCGTCACCACCTTGGGACCTGCCTACAAGACCACTCTTACCTTGTAAAAGCACAATTTCTTATCCTGGGCGGTTGCCCAGGGCAAGCCTCACCCGGCTCCACAATTGAATAAATATGATTTTGATATTTAATAGAGTTGCATGGTTAGTATTAGAATTGTGAGCGGGGGGCAAGGGGGCCCACCCACGTGGGCCTGCCCACGTGAAGCTCCCTTGCCCTTTCGTGCGCGCGCACGAAACTTA